CATGGCCATGATAGGCTCCTCCGGCATCTGACGCCACTTTTCTTCGAAATATTTCTGAAAAAAAAAGTCACTTCACCGTAAAATAACGTGGCATACTTTCCAGATTATTACCTGGAAAAGCAGCTGTACACACTTTAAATCAACAAAAATTCACAGTCTAATTCTCCAGATATAACAGAATCTTCCGGAACAATAAAAAATTTCTAAATAAAAAGCCGGCAACCTTTTTCTGATACAAAAGCAGGCTAAAATAAAGTCAGCCGATTCCAAAAAATTGTTACATCATAACCCCCGCCCCCTTAGGTAGATCGTACACTGGCGCGAACGCAGCCTATATAAGGCCGCCGTATTTGTGCTGTAGGGCAGTATGGTATCTAGCGTACTGTTTATCTGAAGGAGTAGTGTCAATCCCGTCGAGTATTGTCGACCGACCAGTGTCGATCCCGTGAAATGTGCCGACCAGGAGGACTTATGAAGGACGAGGATCCCTTTGCCATTTGCCAAGGATTGCCAAGGATTCGACGACCCGACTTGACAGGCCGCAGTAACCGGCCAGTCGACTGAAGCACCCGGGCCAGGGAACCCGACAAAATTATTGTATGTCACATAAGAATATGAATGTTAAAAGCAATGTCAACACTGGGTTGATCATTATGAAAGTCGCAAAATAAAAAAAGCACAGTTTTAAAGCACGAAAATAAGTACTTGGAGGGTTTTGCCATGCTGATGAACTGGATCCGCCGGTGGATTATACTTGAAACAGTTCTGGCAGACCAGCATCACATCGTCCCTCAGTTCTTCCGGGCTTGCATATTGCTTGGCCTCCAATTTTCGCCTTAAAAAAGTCCGTTAAAATACTTCACCTTTTTTCCTGCAATTCATAAAAGGTTTTTTAATTCGATTTATCTTATTCACCTTTCTTTTATTCCTTTCTAATTCTTACTTTTTACATAAACACACATCATCTAGAATTAAAATTACAATAAAAGTTTTTTTATAATTTGTACTTGTCTGATCTACAGTGAAATACGTCCTATGTCAATAAGACGCATCAATCTGCCAGATGAAGTGCTCAGTTCAGTGAGATTCAGACATATAAGGGACGTAACTACCTAGGCTCTCCAATCCTGTAGCATTATTTTCAGTTGTGAATTGATGGGTCCCTTTTTTTAAATTGCATACATCACACATTCGCAGACCCTTCTTGTAATCGCACTGTTAATCTATATGATACCAAACACCAATATTTGGCACGCATTGATTGTCAACGAAAATATCGCGACCTCAAAAGTTAGTGGGATAGACTAGTGTGCGCGTCTTGTATGTGTATGTGTGTGTGTGTGTGTGTGTATGTGCTAGCTAAAACCTAGAGACAGCTATAACCTTATAATTATACAGAAGAAACTACAGTTGTATAAGGTGCCTACAAAGTACAAAACACAAAGTGCCTAAAAAACAAGGAGGCGTGGAGCGAAAGCGAATTCGGTTCCTGGAGACGAAGAGGGATGATCCTCTACCCCGGTGGCGACAGATAACAACGTTTGCATAACTCTAACAAGGGTAGGGTGTCCAAAGATTGAACTGTGGACCAAGGATGTTGCTTCACAGTGATGCAATGGCTTCTTACGCAATTTTTGACAAACAGCAATAAATCATTATGTGACAATACACTACATCCCGTCAGCGAATTTTAATTTTTGCCCCATGAATAAAAACAAGTCCATCATCGAGTCACGTAAAATATGCATCCCGCTCATACATACTTCGCTCGTAACAGAAACACACTTTCCTGCCACAATTTTAAAATCGGAAAACTATCAGCTTATTACATTAAGCGAAAAGTTTAATGTTATAAATACGAAAAGCAATCTAAAAAAGAAAAAAACTAGCTAACCTGATTGTGCCCAAATCCATTGGGTTTTTCACGATATCATAATAATCTTCCAGTTTCAGGCCCTCAACGTCTACTGGCTCAAGAAACGGCCACGTAAAGCTTTTGCATTTCTGCAAACACAAAACCCTCAACAAAGAGCCCCAATTCAAAATCCCCTCCCCCCAACCCGCAAAAATCATTCCCTATAAAAAATAACGAATGCAAAAGTAGCCCGAGTGTCCGAGTAAGCCAACACCCCTGTCTAACGGCTTCCTCCCCCTTTTTTTTCCATGTACTGCTCAAGCCATTTAAATACAATTTCTGTACAAAAAAGTCCCTCTGAATCATGAAATCACGCACAAAAAAAAGAATTTAAGCCACCTTGGCTAGGCTGACCCATCTCGGCAGACCAGCCCTGTCCCCGTCTAAGTTTTAAGGGCTCAACAGAAAAACTCCAGCACTAACCTTTGTGAATAATTCATTCATAATACGTTGGCAGTACTTCATCTGCTCGGTTTGTTTGCCCTTGAAACGAGGTTTCAGCTGATTGTAATCAATGAAATAATTCGGTTTTTTTGGCGGTCGTCCTGATTCACGGCGAGTTGCCACCTTTGCACTCACCACTTCCTCACCAAACGATGTTGTCGTATCGGCTTTTCTTTTGACGCCTTTTTGTACCTAGAAAAAACCGGTGCCCCTTCAAAATCAAGTTTTACTGTAGCATCCGTGTCCACCGAAAGGATTACTTGGGCTCTATGTCAAGCTAAGACATGAAGCGCAAACGTATCCATCGACTTCAAGCAAGCTTGTTAAGCCTTTCAGCCCAGCGTACCTGCTTCCCTTCCAGAGCGAGCTATTCCTCCCCCCCCCCCCCCCCCCCCCCCCCCCCCCCC